ACATGAAGTGATATTTTTTTGCAATAAATTCTTTATAGATTCGTATAGATGCTAAGTTAGTATTTATTTGATGTCGCGAGGGTGGGGGGATTTCACAGGATTTAAAACAGATGCTTTGAGCATCGATTTATTAGATTGCCTATGGCAATTTAATTGTGATATTACATACTTGGTTCGGAGCTGCGGAGATGCACGCGATTTGCGACCACGTGATGTTATATAAACCGAAAATTGTAAGATTCACACTATAATATTATATGAAAGCACCAAAATCCGCTTTGTATCGTTGGCATTTATGATTCTTAATTATTTAATATTTCACGGTCTTTCCTGATAATTATTTATTTATTATTTGAAATTTATGTTTATATAATTTGAATTATTGATAAAATGATTAACTAAATTTGTTTGTTTCGTTTAACAATATTGAAAACTATTTTATCACTGAGTTACTTAAGATCCCCGACCGTTAACCTTTCAATTATGAGCATTAGTCTATTTTTTTTATTCCTTTCTTCTGGCTCATTTTTGTCCGTAATTATGCAAAGTACGATAGAGCGATGGAATGTAGGATAACAGTGCAACAGCTAGGGGTCCATTTCCATACTGTACACTAAATTAGAGACTACACCTCTCGTGTCCTTCTATAAGAAGGCCCTGTGCTTGGAAATGTACGCGCGCGAATACTATGTTGCAGTATGCATTGTGCATAATGGGTGAAAAGGGGAGAGAGCCGAGAGAGGCGGTGCCTGAACGAAGCGTCGCTGTCGTCGCGCGGCCGCTGATTGCATTGTGAGCAACATGGCCACCAGTTCGCGAGAAATCGTGATCGCGTATATGTCGGGCAACACTCATGTATGGACTTTCCTTAGCAGATCGTTAGATGTCGCCGTACGTGCTTTAAAATAACTGAGTCGAGTTTGCTTCTGCTTGACACTGTTCTCGTTAGTCTCGCGAGAATCGTAGGTTTGATATTTTGTATCGCCGACGGCATACAGTCATCGGCGGGGCGGGGGGAGCGGAGGGGATGGGATAGTGATCGAATATTGTGACATTGATTGAATCAGAAAGACGAAATAGCAATACTGCCGAATTTTCATATCGATACTGTATTATAGTGCATAGCGATAATCCATTAATCCTACATCGAAGCAATCGAACATCGTGATATCTTCATGCATGTAATTAATTCCTGCCAATTAAAACAATTGATTCGCTATAGAACTTTGAGGACACGAAGGCTTGGAGAAGTAGGATTGTGCGATTTATTCCTTTAGCAAAATTGATAGTCGTGATAGTATTAATGGTCAACACGGAGTGATTTTATCCTTGGGATTGTGAGTTCTTACTAAAAATTTTACTGAATTTCTAAGGAGAGATGTATATATACGTATTACTCATAAAAATTTTCGACTGGAATTTGTGATGTGCACCATTACCGTTAAGTGAATTGATTAGTGAAACGGCGTTCTAACCTTTCATTGTCGCGTTATTATAGCATTATGTTGAAAGTAGCCAATATCTACTATCGCAATCATTTGCTTTATTATTTCGTGAAAAATTTCTAAAAGAGTTCAACACGAAGATCTTTTGAACTCATTTATAGGAATAGACATTTCAGACGCTGTTTCACCCAAAGAGAGTGGAGCAGCCGCTCCCAACAGCCCATGCTCTCCTGCTGAAACAGACGCAGCGGCAGCAATAGTAGCGCCATCGAACGAGCAACAAGAGCAGCAAACACAGCAATCCTACCAACATCAAACGCAATACCAACAGCAACATATAGCTGGAAATATCGCAACCGCTGCATCGCACGTTGCTGAGGACAGTGGAGCTCCCTGTGAGATGCGGAGGACACCACCGCAAACTAAAGGTAAATTTCTTTTTTTCTGTTCGAATGAAATTACACAATTTGTGATATGCAATTATGTACTTTTCTTGTAAAGTAACTATGTGTTTTCTTTACATCAATTAATTTATTTTATTATTCTATGCATAAAAATATTAAGAGTTGATTGTCAAAAAATCAATAATTTATGCTATATTTTATATTTTCTATCAAAATAGGACAGAATAAAATATAAAATATCGTAAATTATTTATCATAAAAAATTATCTTTTAAAAGAAAAAAGAGGCTCAAGTATTATGTACTCTTCAAAAAATAACTATTGTGTAATTTCTTTTGAAAAATAAAACTCAAGTAGTATACGTATCTTTGTATTTTAATTCAAGAATTTTCCTATTCTAAGTGGTAGCTTTAATTCTTTAATTTAAAAAAAAATTAATATCACAAAATTATACCAATTAAAAAAAATTTATGTACGTTATATTATCTAAATCAATCCAAGTGATTTGTATTTTCGAATTTAAGAATAATTCTGTTTCAACCTAAATGATAGTATCTTTTTGTTTCCAAGTATCAGAAATATATATTATAAAAAACTTGACGCTGCTGTCTTAATATAATTATATGGATGTGATTATATGGATTTTCTCTAGGCGCTCTAGCGACACCAAGTTTTTTTATGTTAAATATTTTTGATATTTGGAAAATAAAGATATTATCTTGAATTAAAACATATTTATTTTTAAGTAGGATTACAAGAATATATATATATATCATTTGGATTGTGTTAGGCAATATAACATGCATAAATGTTATTTTAATTGATGCAATTTGTTATATTATTTTATTAAGAAAAATTGAAGCTATTATTACTTGGATTGGAAGAGAAAGACTCAAATGAGAAAACGAAGATATATATCACATTTGGGTTGTATATTTCAAAAACAAAAAAACATTATCCCTTCAATTTTTTACAAATATAGTTGTACAACAGTTATTTTTGAAGAGTGTGTACACTTGACGTCCATTTTATCTTTTCTTAAAAAAATGTAATTTTTTATGGTATGTGATTTGTTGTTAAACGTCTGAAAACATGGAAAATAGCTTAAAAATAGGCTTCTTCAAACAGTAAAATATCAGTTCTGGAGAAAATAATTGAAATAGAGAAAATCATAATGGATATGTTTTAGTTTTCGTAATCGATTTACCTAAAAACCTCAACTAAAATAACATTAAAAAATAAATATTTAAATAAATAGTATTTCAAATAAGTATTTTTATAAATATTATTTTGAACAAAATAATACTTACTTTATATTTATTAATGAATGAAAAATTATATTTTAGTTCTAATTATATAATGCAATATAGAATTTTTTAATACACACGGTACAATAATTAAGTTTTCGAACTAAAGTCATAAAAAATACACAAAAAAGATTGAACATATTTATTGATACCATATTCAACATAGTTTCCGGTCACTTTTGAACAACATTTACATCGTTACAACGAATCAAATGTTTGAGGAAATGCTTCTTCCCTATAATTGATCTCAATTTTCGTCATAATATGTTAGATTAATGATATTCTTAAATCTCGTCATTTTTATTGCAATTTTAAATTTAAGAAATAAAAAAGAATCAATTAACTAAACACAATGAAAATACCCTCATATTGTCAAAAAATCAGAAACAAATTTTTGATGAAATGAGAGAAATTCCTATGTTAGCTATCCGTCGTATTTGCCTGATTTAACGCTGATTGATTTTTTTTTATTTCCTAAATTAAAAATTACAATGAAATTTGGAAGATATTTGAGTCCAATTAATTATGACGAGAAAACTAAAAGCGATTCAGGAAGAAGCGTTTTCTCGGGCATTTGATTTGTGTACAAGTGTAAATATTGTTCGGAAGCGGGCGGTAACTATATTGAATAATGGAATTAATAAATATTTTTTTATCATTTTTTTGTGTATTTCTGGTCTCAATTCATTAGAACTTAATTGTCGTGATAATTCAATAAAGTAATTTATTTTTTGATAAAAAACCAAATTAATATAATAAAAAATTAGAAAAAAAAATTGAATGCTGTTTAATCAACAATAATCAAGCAATTTAATTAATTACATTCCATTGAGGAAGTTCAATTTCATACTTAAAACTTAAAACATTGTAAGCATCAAGCTCAATTTTCGTAATCGTATTTTTGTATTCACAAATATAATTAAATCCATTCTTTGAAAAATATCATCTCAGGAAGTAAAAGTAAAAAAATAAATGATGGAAGGATTTTTAAATAGAATTTTTTTTAAAGAAAAAGATTATTGAACGGTTTAAAAACAAATATAAATACTATAGTAATGTTGCAATAACCAGTATAAAAAATTCAATAAGTATTATGTATGGTACGTAAAAATGCAAATAACTTTTATTTGCTTTAAAAAAATATTTTGCATTTTGATGTACAGATAATAAATTTTCTCTGTTAATAGTAACTCAACTCATAATAATACAATTAATTTTATGTTATTTATTCACTTTTAATAAGAAAACATTCTTTAAATATATTTTTTAATGAATTCGACGAAGTGATAATATTAATCTGACAAAATAAAACAAATGTTCAGTGGGAACAAAAAATAGTATTGCACTATTATACTAATGAGCGCCGCGCTGCCGCGTGCCATGCAGGCACAGACTTGCACGACAGTTGAACATCTCAAATATTTGAACAATGCAACTAAAAAGATTGAATGTGTTACAAAAACAACGCTAGAAGTAAAGGACTATTATCTTAAAGGCATGTCTTCATAGTGTCGCTTGTCACTCATATTCAGCGACAAACAAGTCACGTATGTAATATCATATGCTGATTTCGATTGTCACTTATGTAAATGGATAGTAGCGATAAATGTTTGAATAACATAAATAATAATTTATATTAATAAAGTCTAAAATGTCTTATCAAGAAAGATATTACGAGTGGATTTATCAATCAAGTTGCTGCGATTGTGTACAATAAAAATGAAGAGGATCGACGGCATAGACTAGCAGCTGTATGCATCAGTGAATGTAAATTTAAAAATTATATATATATATATATATATAAAGGTTTTGAATTGATCCATTATTTGAGAAACGACTTGCAGTTCCATGTTCTGCGTATTATTTATGCACAAAATTTTAACCCACAAGATTACCGCGTAAAAGCGACGTCGCTAAAAGTTCGATTCAATCCAACATTTTTTGTCGCGGGCGACAAGAAAACACAAAATTCAATCACGTGACCACTCATCGCTGCGACAAGCAACACCATGAAATTGTACCTTTATATGTTTGCCTCTGGTTGCTAGTCTTTTCTGTTTACCACATTTATATTTATGAGATGTAACTAGCTATTATCTGATTAAACGTCACAGGAACTTTTTTCTTAAATTTAACAAATAGTTCGAATATAATTTCTGTCTCTGTCATTTATATTGATTAGATACAAAACATATGATATTGCAGTGCTTACTAATCACTTAACTTTCAGTTAATTTTTCATACCTAAATAATTCTCGCTATAATTGCAAGATTACTTTTTTCAGTGTACAAGGTATTAAAAAAAAGATGTACTTGGCAGATAGTAACAGAATACTATCTGTTCTCAAAATATGTAATTTTTGTTAAACACCCTATTTAAGAAACAATATTTGAATAAAAATGCTAACGGGTTTATGGTTTTCTCTGTGTCTTGATTCATTGTTAATGTCATGCTATTAATATCTGAATATTTATCAAGATTTTGAAGCTAAACATTATTATTCATATGTATGCGTGCGTGTGTAAATGCATGCGTGCGAAGTAATTTCATCTCGACTAAATATAATCTATTTTGAAATGAGACATGTGAAATATCTATAAAACTAAAAAAATTATTGCTCCTTTTGTTACTGTAAAGTTTACTATTATTAACAATATATATCTATTACGACCGTATATAAGTATTTCATACATAACGAATAAGGAAGGCCAATGCACAGTCATAGCAGGATCTTGGTGCTTCTATTATTTTTTTATGTGATTTTTACATACGTATCCTGCTAGCTTCGACGAAACTGCGTGCCGTTATTTCCAGATTCAACGCAACTCCTGATTGAAACAGGATCGTATTATCACGTATTAAATTGCTAATCAATTTAATAAGTACTTGATGCTCATTTGCATCTAATAAATTCTCCCTCTCCCGTGACGTCAAATAAATGTTAGCCTGCATTTATACGAACCATTCTCAACGAATCTGTAAAGAAATCTATTGCGAAAAAATATCACCTCATGTTCTCAGCCAGGAATCGAATCCGGATCTCCGCGTTTGCTGGACGGGCACCTTTAGTATATTATTATTATCTACCTTTAGTATATTATTATTAATTTTACTATTATTTGTTGAAGCAACTGACATTCCATTATTTATTAATTTGATCGCAATTGATTACTATAATATATTATTAATAAATTCCAATTTACTATCTTTTCGATTTTGACGTAGCCAACAAAGTTTTTATTTTGGGTGAGAGACCGTAGCAATAACAAAATCTTTAACTTTATTTAATTAGCATTATTTAATTATATTATAGAAGCGATTATTCAAATATTTTAGAAAATAGTCTTAACAGCTCATAATATTTTGATATTCGCATATTGTTTCGATATCTAATTCTTTAATATTTTAAAATTATTTTTTACATCAGAAATTCAGATAATGTGCCTCCAAAGAATATTTCTTTTTAGTCTTTTAAAATATTTAAACAATGTGCTATGAGGTCTATATATTTCTTATATTATTTTAAAAATTTAAGAAACAGTGAAATATAATATTTGAAATAAAGTATTTCAGAAATTTTCGATAATAATTCTTTAATTTTTAATAATTTTGTCATGCTGTCATGAAAAGAATTCCACCTTGTTTAAATATTATTTTTCTGTTATAAATAACAAAAGATAATATTTTCCATAAGATGAGTTATATTTAACTAATTTG